TGTTTTTATTGAAAAATATAACCTCGTCTTTAAGAACCTAAAATTAACTTAATATATAATTTGAATACTTATTTTTATATTAAACCTCAGAATTATAAGTCTAATTATGTTTCCATTTCTTGCATTCTTCACCTATTTAAAATTTAATATATGTACTTTTAATTTCATGAATTTAAATTCTGAATAGTAATTTATTGAGATGCCGCACTATATAATTATATAAATAAATAAGATGTAGTTATCGAGATAACTCTAATATTTAATTAAATTGAATAAATAATTATTTCACAATTGATATTTCAAATTTAATATTAAATTAAAGTTTTGTTTAATTAATTTGGAATAGGTGTACATTATTTGTTTCAAAATAACTTTCAATAATTTAATATTCATATCTATAATATTTGTGATATTTAAAATCAGAATTTCAAAAAATAACAATAATTTATTTATCACCAAAATTGATTGGTTTGTGTATACTAAATTACGAGAGATAAAGAAATGTGTGGATAATTTTGAATTGGCTTATACGTGGTGAAAATTGTCTGTAAAATAATATCCAATGGTTTTGGGGGGATTTTGTATGAATATCTTAATGTTACGAGTGGTGTTATTCAATAGGACAAAAGGGCCATGCCCCCACAATTTGAAGGAATTACTATTAAATCTCTTAAAATTTTATAAATTTATATTTTATATTTTTAAATATTTGAAAAAAAATTATTTTACTGTTAAAATTATAAAAATTCATATTAATATATAATTATAAATTAAGTTGTATTAATATTATCAAAATTTAAATATACATATATATAATTATAAAAAATACAACTATATAAATTTTATTTTATTTTTATATATTATTTTTTCTTGAAAATAAAAACTTCAAAATTATTATGATATACTTGATATATACACACAATAATTTTTTTTCTTAACATTTTATTTTAATAATACTTTTATTCTTATTTCTCAAATCATAACTTGTTTTCTTATAGTAGTTTTAATTATTTTTGTTGATTAAGCTAAGATGAATACAAATTAGTTTTAATTTTTGAATAAACACTAAAGAATTAAATTAAAGAAAAATAAATTTTCTTTCCAAATACTTTAATAGAATAAAAAATAATTTTTTTAACAAACCCAACAAATCTGCTACTAAAATTTAATTCTATGTTAAAAGTTTCTATAAATTAAATGTTAATAGTTATCGTCATAATTTCATTTTATTTTTAAGAAAAAATGAATAAAGTTTCATGTATATGCATACGTCCTTCTTGTATCTATCTTCTTTCAATTCCTATATAAGTCATTGCCCTCTCCTCCCCCCAGCGACTCAAATCGTCAAAAACCTAATTTCGCATTGTATTATAGAAGATTGGCAGCTCCAAAGGAGATCAGAGTCCCCCGAAAGAAAAATGGCTGCAATTCTTGCATATGCAATCATCTTCCTTTTGAGTCTAGTCTGGTATAGATTGGTAAGAAGGCAAAAGAAGAAACACCAGGGAAAAGCTGAGACGGAGCTTCCTCCTGGATCAATGGGATGGCCTTACATAGGAGAAACTCTCCAACTCTATTCTCAAGACCCCAATGTGTTTTTACTTCCAGACAGAAAAGGTTTTCAAACCCTCTTCGTTTTGATGCTTTCTTTTCTGTGCCTTTTTCACTGAACTTCATTACATGGTGGTTCAGGTATGGAGAGATTTTCAAAACTCGTATATTAGGCTGCCCTTCCGTCATGCTGGCTAGCCCCGAGGCTGCTGGGTTTGTTTTAGTAACAAAAGCTCACTTGTTTAAGCCCACGTACCCCAGCAGCAAGGAGCGTCTCGTTGGTCCAGCGGCGTTGTTTTTTCACCAAGGAGAATACCACACTCGTCTTAGAAGCTGGTTAAGGCCTCATTGTCTATCGAGGCTATTCGGAACTTGGTGCCACATATCGATGCCCTAGTAGCCTCTACTATGGATTCTTGGCCCGAGGGGCATGCCGTTAACACCTTTCATGAAATGAAAAAGGTTTGTTCGAATGTTCGGTCCAATGTCGTCGTCAAACAAATGATTGGGGTCAATGATTTTTATACTTCTTTTTCCCACTTTAACGGAAATACTGGGACAAACTGTTTTATTTTTTCATATATTAAAATGTACAGTGTTGAAAAGTTTTGTTGATATTATAACTGCGTCCAAATAATTGCAGATTACTTTCGAGGTTGGTATACAAATGATTTTTGGCCGTCTGGAGGCTGGATATCGAGAGGAGCTGGAGAAGAACTACTTCATAGTCGACAAAGGCTACAATTCCTTCCCTACAAACATCCCTGGAACCCCATACAGAAAGGCATTACAGGTAATAATGATCTTATCTCTGTTAGTTGACTCCTTGAATTCTTTCATATTTCATGTAATTAATACGAATTCCCTGCAGGCAAGAAAGAGGCTACGCAAGATATTGAGTGGTATCATAAGTGAAAGGAAGGAGAAGAAGTTGCTCGAAAAGGATCTGGTGGGCTGTCTGTTGAATTCCAAGGATGAAAAAGGTGAAGTTTTAACCGATGATCAAATCGCCGACAACATCATCGGAACACTTTTCGCTGCTCAGGACACCACGGCTAGTGTTATGACATGGATTTTCAAGTACCTCCATGACAATCCGAAACTTCTGGAGGCAGTCAAGGTGGGCCTTGAACAATCCATTTTTTTTTTCTTCCAGTGTCTAGAACGGTCTTTCTTTATGAACAATACTATCATTTATTGATGGTCTTTGTCATTGAAATTCTATGTCCAGGGAGCATAATCTTAATAAAACTAATGGGTGAGCCTGTCTTTGTAGGCTGAACACAAGGCAATTAAAAGATTGATTGAAGAAAGCAATCAACCTCTGAGTTGGTCACACACAAGGAATATGCCAATTACTTACAAGGTGACTGAGAACCGTGATAGTTCTTTTTTGTTGAATCCCCTAAGTTGGATTTAGATACCCGAATCTTGGCTAACAGTGGAAAGCATTTGACTGGGTCAGGTTATATTAGAGACACTGAGAATGGCAAGCATCATATCCTTCACTTTTAGAGAAGCAGTCGCTGATGTGGAATACAAAGGTAAGAATAAATCAATTCATGTCACATACACACACACACAAAAAAAAAAAAGCATATCGGACGTCAAATAAAACTGAACATAAAATGGCATATAAGGCAATTGCTAACTCTAAAATTACCAACAGGTTACCTTATTCCGAAAGGTTGGAAAGTGCTGCCTCTGTTCAGAAACATTCATCACAATCCTGACATTTTCTCCGATCCCCGGAAATTCGATCCTTCAAGGTTTGAGGTGTGAACAGACACGAAAGTATTTTCGACATATACATTGCGTTTGGATATTTTCATTTCCCTGGTTCATTTATGAGTTTGGTATAATCATTTATGGCTTATGATTAAAGGCGTTTCTTTTGGTTTGTTATACATTAGATGAGTTATTGTCATTGTATGATGTAGGTTTCCCCAAAACCCAACACTTTCATGCCATTTGGCAGTGGAGTGCATGCCTGTCCTGGAAATGAGCTTGCAAAGTTGGAGATGCTTATAGTGACCCACCACTTGGTTTCTAACTTCAGGTATGTTGTTTGAAAACCAAAGTGAAAATAATATTTGTCAATTTTTAAGGGAATGTTCTACTATATGATTGTTTTTGGACAACCCTTAAATGATATTCTTGTTCAGTTGTTCATGTTAGTGGCTATATGAAATAAGGTGACTAAATTCATAAAAATGATGGAGAAGGACAACGAGAACACGTATTATAACTGCTGTTGGAAGATGACTTGTTTGCAAAGAATAGCTGCTGACAGTCACATTTTTGTTGGGGTTTGCAGATGGGAAGTGGTAGGATCCGAAAGTGGGATTCAGTATGGCCCATTTCCAGTTCCTGTACAAGGACTTCCCACCAGATTTTGGAAAGAATCTACAACATAGAAAAGGCAGGCATGGATGATGGGTGTGGATTATAATAACAGCAGCAACGCAATGCTCACCTACAGTAAATTTACCGGCTATTTCCAGTTTTTTGGAATAGCAAGTTGTTTTCCCATCCATCCCAGTTTTGAGTTCATTGTCATTGTCATTCAAAGCCTTTCTTTGCTATTTTCTCTTTTAGTTGTAGCTCCAGAATTGATATTTAGGGTAATCGAAAGGCTTCCATTAGAAATCAAATAGTATTCCAAGTTTTACATTTATCTGCAAAGCATTTTCAGAAAGGAGTAAACATCATATCTTGCCGTTTTCCATAAATCATGACTAAATCATGGCCACACCTATGATGTACCCTTGGAGCTCTCTGTCATTGGCTGCATAGGAGACATTTTAAACAACCATTGGCTAAGTTGGAATAGATGATCTCCGGCAGGTTAGCATCCCGCGAAGGACACCCAAGCTTGCAGACCACAGTTTGTAGTGTCTTCAATTATGGACCCTACTAATTAGATGTGGATACCAGAGCTCGATAGCCTTGATTCGATTTCCATTTAACAATTACCAGGCAACACCTACTCTGGTTGGCCATGATATTTTTAAGCATATTTTACTAATGTGGTGAATGCATTACCATAACCCTGCTTAATCAATTTAGATGTGGATACCAGAGCTCGATAGCCTTGATTCGATTTCCATTTAACAATTACCAGGCAACACCTACTCTGGTTGGCCATGATATTTTTAAGCATATTTTACTAATGTGGTGAATGCATTACCATAACCCTGCTTAGTCAATTTAGATGTGGATACCAGAGCTCGATAGCCTGGATTCGATTTCCATTTAACATGGCAACACCTACTCTGGTTGGCCATGATATTTTTAAGCATATTTTACTAATGTGGTGAATGCATTTCCATAACCCTGTTTAACCACACTTTTCAATTGTTGCCATTGGATAATCTTTATTCAAGACAGACATTGAACCTAATCATCATGCACTGGCCTGGTAAGTGGCCAGGGATTTATATGTTTTTCCCTAATTTGAATCATGTCACATTCCTGGTCATCTAATTCTAGATATGCCATATCTAGTGTTTGACTTGAGAGATTCAATGATTTTTACAAAAACCATATCTAAAAGGCTTCTTATTCTTCAGCAGATATTTTCAAAGCATATAACTAAACAGACAAAGCCATCGATCATATAGCGCAAAACAATGGGGTTAAAAGGAAAACAGCTTCACTTTCCAAGTAAATCCTGTAAATAATGATTACAGTAGTAATATGTTCTATGGTAGATAATGTAGTCCAATCTATTCCAAGTATCTTACTGATTATTTTTCTGCAGAAGCAAAGTTTGAAAATACTGGCCACCTTTTCTTTGCTTAGGCATCTTCATTTGTCGACGTATATTTCTTTGACGGCTTCAACAATTCTCTCCTTGTCTCTGGTTGGAAATGCTTCCAAGAGAACTCCATTTTTATAGAAGTACGATAAAAATATTTATCAGTTTATATAGTTCATGGAATACTCTTTGAGTCCTCACAGATTTGCTAGAAACATAAACAAGGGGGAAACATGTTTCGACAAGAACAGCAAGCTAAATTAAGAAACTGGGTATTAAAACTGGAAGATTTTGCAAAGGAGACTGTTGATCATATTACTTGGAAATTGGAAAAAAATATTAAAGAACAGCAGCTTACCTGGGGGAAGTCGAGACTCGAGAGTCGTGAGTGGAGACATCAGAGAAGTGAAGAAACTTCGAATGAGAAACGGACACGCCAACACCATATCCGCTTTTCAAGTTCCAGATTCTATCCAAATATCCCTTTGTAATCTAACCATTGTTTTCCCTTATTATTTGTCTTAGTGGGACATCATTTTGTCCCAAATCCAATCCCACTGTAATTATTCTAACAAAATCAAACCGAATTAACATGTATACAGTTACGGTACTCCAATTAAATGGGAACAGTCTTTTCCTCCTTTCTACTTGATTAATATGGTCGAGACCATTGATTGAATCGCATTATTATGCTCGGTCTTAGTGCACACCTAAAACATCTAATTAGTACCAAGTAAAATGAGGTCTCGAATGAGAAAATAATTTTGGGTAGCCCATTGATCTTAAAATATCAAAACCCAAAGCCTGATGGCCCATAAGCCACCTTCCATAGGAAAACTGAAAAAGCAAGCAACTGTGAACCAACCCACAAAAAAGAAAAATTATTGGAAACGTGTCAGTACTCAGTTTTGATCAGATCGCCTGGAAAACAGTGTCGTGAAGAAAAAATAATTTTTTCCACTGAAAGCCAAATCCAATTTCCAGTTTCTTCTTCTTCTTTGATTTCTCTTACTTTGTTGTAACGATGGCGAATACTGAGTTGAAATCCGATAATTTGTTTGAGATGATGAAGGGTCACTTGGCTAGTGATGCTGGTAAAGAACTCACCAAGAAGATCGGCCTCGTTTACCAAATCAATATTGCCTCCAAGGTCCATCCTTTATGCATTTTTACCTCTTCCCCCCCCCTTTAAATTTCAATTTGATTTAAAGGCTTGATCTAATTTCTGGTTTTGTTTGTGACTTGTAGAAAATCGGGATTGATGAAGTTTCTTACGTTGTTGATCTCAAGAAAGGAGAAGTTACCAAAGGTTAGCCTATCCTATGTTTAGTAATTCAATTTTATTCTTTTCGTTTTCAGTTTGGTTTCGTTTTGTCTTGGAAGGGTTTGTTTATGGCTTTATGTTGCTCTGCCCCTTGATAAAATTATAGATATCGAAATTGTTATGAGGGAATAGAGTTTGAAGTTTGTATCTTTTGCATTTACAATCTGGAGAAGTTTTTGTTACTCTTTTATTGGAATTGAAATGCCTACTTGCAGGTATCTTCCGTCTAGTCCAATGCTCTTTGCTAACTATAATATAAGATTTGTAGCCAAGGCTCTTTTTCTGCCTTTTTCTATCATCTGTAAAGGTTATCAACCTCTCCCTCTATGTGACAATGGAGAGGAGGCGGACCCCATTTCATTAGTTCCCTAGCTTCACCATTTTACTTATTTATTTATTGACATGGTAATTATTTTCTCAGCTTTAACTGTTTCCCATCATTAGTTTTTCAAGGGTGGAAGGGCTACCTAACTCTCTTTAACATTTGCGCTATTATCTTATGTTAAAGATAAAATTTTCTCTGTTTCAGTATGTTTTTGGCAATATGAAATTGGTGGCATGACTGTTCTATTTGTATATGGTCAGTGTTTATCTTGGTGACTTGCTCTTGGAGATTCAAGTATGACTATATCCATTCATAGATATATACAATCAAATCGGCCTTCCTATTTCATTAGTAAAATGCTACATTTTTTCAGTTTAAAGATGTTCATTATCCTATCTCTCTGAAAATGTAGGTAAATATGGAGGGGGAAAGCCTGATGCTATTTTTTCCTTCAAGGATGATGATTTCATAAAGGTCGCCACTGGAAAGATGAATCCCCAGATGGCTTTTATGAGGTGCAATTCTCTAATTTCTTTATCTTTGCCCTCTAATATTATTGATTTCTTTTGTCTTTGAGGACGGCAGGTTTCCAATGCCGAGGATCTCCTTAATTAATACAATGATGATGCAGGGGTGCAATGAAGATTAAAGGGAGCTTGAGTGCAGCTCAGAAATTCACTCCTGACATTTTCCCAAAGCCTGCAAAGATGTGAGCAGAGATGCTAATGTGTTATGTATTTGTTCTCCCAAATGTGTCCTTTGCTAGTATACTCCACTTGATCTCCTCCGCCTTATATACTAGAATAGAAGATAGTAAGGCATATAAGGACTCGGACTATCGAACAACTTCAATATATTCCTCTTTTCTTCCAAGTAAATATATATGTTTTTTTTAATGCTTTGCTGGATCCACAGTTACCATTTTGCTCAGGCCACTATGTGTAATCGGATGCTGCTTTTGTTTTCCATGCTTATGTGCTGTTCCCATTGATTCTGTTGGCAAATTTTGATGTTTATTTGGGTCTCTTGGGGGATTTTTACCTGAAAATTTAAAATTATTATATATTTTAGATTTTTTAAATCCTTGAAGGCCACATTCACCATTTAATATTTCTGGCATTTGATTCCCACGTTTATGTGTGGCATTTGTTTTGATCTTGTTTAAAAGTTAAGCGAAATTCCACCTACTTTTTAACAAAATAATTCAATTTCTATAAAAATACCGATGAATGTGGCTATATTGAATCATGAATTCTCACCACCGTTTCTCTCTTCTTCCCAAACTTAGCGTCAGCGTTGCTTAGTTTTCCTTCCTAAATTGAAATGATAACATCGCCTCTTAATGATAGCAATGATTGAAGGAATTCATTCGGTTGAGACAAAAGCTATAGGAATAGGATCTTTATTTAGCCAAACTAATAGCTTTTGATTATATTATAATTCATCCTTATCGTTACTATTATACTATATTTAGCCAAACTAATAGCTTTTGATTAAATAATTTTTGTTTTCTTTTATCGTGTGAATGAAGGTTGGCCGCAATTTCTCCGTATATGTTCCTAGTGAAGTATTATTATTTCTTTCCATCAGTCCTCAATCTCAGAACCTTTGCATAGTATCCCTGAATGTTATTTGCTGGTCTATATATGCACTAAATGGATTTCATATGGTATTTTCTTTTGACGCAAAAAAATGTACTTGTATTTTTGCAATTCATACAACTTGCACGTTACAACGTGATCTGTGCGTAGCCAAGAGAAATAATTTCGACGTGAAGTAGATGATGAGAATTTCGTGTGAGAAAAGAGATTATTCCCATGTAATGCATGAGTGTCCCACACCAGAAATCTCACTTGAAGGGGCCTGATTGGGCATTCCCCCTTCGGAGTGTCGTGTGAAACCAAGAACGTAAGAAGTGTCTGTTTTTGGATTCAACTGATTGATGGCAGATCAAGTCATTGTCCCACACACCATAATGCATGCGCTTCTGCACCAGTTTCTGCCAAATAAGTGTTTTAGTGTAAACACTTCCCCCTGATTATTCTCAGCAAAGTCCAACATCTTTGGCTGTTATTTCCTGAATCAAATAAGAGGATAAGAATGCCCATGGCAATTATTAATAAAGACGACTTATTTGTGAGTCCTGATTGAAGAAGATAAGAAACAGATATGTTTCCAGATAATTTTTTTATTCGAGTTTCTCGGTTTCGTTGTTCACAATGTATGAACCCGTATGTTTATAGTGAATCTGGAAACAGGCATTGGTGCCTATATAAAGCCCGCAACATATTTCCTCATTCACCAAGCTCGTCTCAACCCTAAAGGAACCAGAATGACTTCTCCAAGTTGGCTTTGCTTTCTTTATCTTTTCCTCCAGTTGATCTTTCCAGCTTTGTCATCTTCAAACTTGCTATTTCAGGTAAAGCTTGCACTCAATATTCATCTCCCTTTCCCCCCTTGTACAAACACATATCTGCTAAGGCAATTTTATTGATTACTGAGTTCATACAGCAGATATCGGTACAGCCCACTAATACTACAGAAAGCAACACCTGAAACAGTTCACATGATACATACATTTATGCGGAACTCTCAACTAATTGTTGTTGATAACTTTGATGATAACATGCAGGGGTTCAACTGGGAGTCATGTAAGAAGGCTGGAGGATGGTATAACTCTCTCAAGAACTTCATCCCTGATATTGCCAACGCTGGGGTCACTCACGTCTGGCTTCCTCCACCTTCCCAGTCAGTTGGACCCCAAGGTATTTCAAGTGTCTATTAAGGCATTGCTTGTGCCGATGAACCGATGCCGATTACGGTTCTTTTAGTACTCTCTCCATGAATGAGATTTTACAGTTTACCTAAATTACCATGAAAAAGAAAAATCAGTCGTGCATATGTATCATCTCTGTTTGTTTAGTTTGCTCTCTCCAGTTTCTTACCTCCCTACTCTCTTTTTTTAATTACTTTCAATGGGTATTAAGGAAGCAGGTAACAAATATTTTTCCATGTTTGCTCCAAACTAAAATCCAGGATATCTTCCAGGAAGGCTATATGATCTCGATGCATCAAAGTATGGATCTCAGGCTGAGTTGAAGTCACTAATTCAAGCCTTCCATCAAAAGGGAGTCAAATGTTTAGCTGACATAGTGATAAACCATAGAACAGCTGAGAGGAAAGATGGGAGAGGAATATATTGCATTTTCGAAGGTGGAACTCCGGATGATCGATTAGACTGGGGGCCATCTTTCATTTGTGGCAATGACAAGGACTATTCGGATGGCACGGGCAACCCCGACACTGGACTTGATTATCAACCAGCTCCTGACATCGACCATCTCAACCCAAAGGTACAGAAAGAGTTATCTGATTGGATGAATTGGTTAAAGACTGAAATCGGGTTCAATGGATGGAGGTTTGATTTTGTGAGAGGGTATGCCCCGAGCATTACGAAAATCTATATGGAACGAACATCACCGGATTTGGCTGTTGGGGAGAAATGGGATGATCTTTCCTTGGGGCAGGGTGGTCAAGATGCACATCGTGGAGCATTAAAAGACTGGGTTGAAGCTGCTGGTGGGGTTGTCAAAGCATTTGATTTCACCACGAAAGGGGTTCTCAATGCTGCAGTGCAAGGGGAGTTATGGAGGTTGAAGGATTCAAATGGGAAGTGTCCTGGAATGATTGGAATTTTGCCTCAAAATGCAGTGACTTTCATTGATAATCATGACACAGGTTCTACTCAGAGGCTTTGGCCTTTCCCATCCGAAAAAGTCATGCAGGGCTATGCTTACATCCTCACCCATCCCGGCACTCCATCAATAGTATTTTTCTCATCTTTTTAGTGGTTGCAATTGGTCGAATTTCCTTATCTGTAACCCTTTCTTCATTCTCTGCCCCCTCTGTACTATAGACATTGTACAACTTACTATACTTGTGCTGTCAAGCATCCTAATGAATGGTTGAATTTGTGATGTGCAGTTCTATGATCACTTTGTTGATTGGGGATTAAAGGACGAGATTACTAAACTGTCAGCAATAAGGAGGAATAATGGGATCAGTGAAACAAGTAAAGTGAATATTATAGCCTCTGATTCTGATCTGTATGTGGCTGCAATTGACGACAAAATCCTTACCAAAATTGGCCCAAAGATGGACCTCGGTAGTCTTGTACCTTCCAACTATCAGCTTGCTACCTCAGGGAAAGACTATGCCGTGTGGGTAAACAAGTGAGACAGTCCACACATTTCCATGTTGAATTTCATGTACTAAACTTGTTAAGAGTTCTGTTTGTATGAATATTGTGAGTACAATAAATATCTATCCATCATGAAGATTATTTTAGTATGTGATAGTATGATCATTAGATATATTTATTTAATTAATAATATTTAAATATTAAATTATCAAATCTATAAAATTAATTTGAACCTGTAAATATAAATTCGGATTAAGAAAGGTTCAGTTTCAGCCCGCCAAATAACACATTTTCAAAATTCCGAACCCTAATAAATGTGGAAAAGCCGAAAGTCCTAAAAAGTAAAAACCAATTTCGAAACTTGGCGCTCTTTGCATATACCATTTCCCCCTTCCGCTTCGATCCCCAAAAAAGAAAACCATTTTCTAAATTCACAGTTCAGTTCTCTTTCAATAGCAATGGGAGGAGCTCACAGTCGCGAGGATCTGATTTCAGACTCAGACGAGGAGGAGTATGAAGAAGAAAACGGAGAAGAAGAAGACTACCAAGATTCCAAAGACGAGACTCCGGAAAGATCTTCAGATCGAAGACCCCAAACGCCGTCCTCTGTCGACGAAGTGGAGACTAAGCTCAAAGCCCTCAAGCTCAAATACGGATCGGCCAACGCCCAAAATCCATCTCTTACAAACGCCGTTAAGCTGTATCTTCACATCGGTGGTAACACCCCTAAAGCCAAATGGGTCACTTCCGAGAAGCTCACCTCTTACTCTTTTGTCAAGACGTCGAAAATCAACGGTCAGGATGGAGAGGATGATGATGATGAAGAGAGTGAAAACGAGGAAGGTTGGTGGGTTTTGAAGGTTGGTAACAAAATTAAAGTGAAGGTCGGGGTGGAAATGCAGCTTAAGAGTTTTGGAGATCAACGTAGGGTTGATTTCGTTACCAAGGGGGTTTGGGCTATGAAGTTTTTTAGTGATGAAGAGTATAGGAACTTCATTAGCAAGTTTAACGACTGTTTATTTGAGAATACTTATGGGATCGAGTCGAATGATGCTAACAAAATTAAGGTTTACGGAAAAGATTTTATTGGATGGGCCAAGCCTGAAGCAGCTGATGATTCTATTTGGGAAGATGCTGAGGATGTTTCGTTCAACAGCCCTCAACCAGTGAGGGCAAATCAGGATCTCAGGGAGGAGTTTGAGGAGGCGGCCAACGGAGGGATTCAAAGCTTGGCCCTGGGGGCATTGGATAATAGTTTTTTGGTGGGTGATTCAGGTATTCAAGTTGTTAAGAATTTTGCTCACGGGATTCATGGTAAAGGTGTTTACGTAAATTTTGACCATGGGAATCAGAAGAGTGCTTCCAAACTGGTGCATTCAACACCGAAGAGAGCTCTTCTTATGAAAGCTGAGACGAATATGCTGCTCATGAGTCCAACGACTGAAGGGAAGCCTCACACAGCAGGGCTTCATCAGCTGGATATCGAGACTGGGAAGATAGTTACGGAGTGGAAGTTCGGGAAAGATGGAACTGATATTACAATGAGAGATATTACAAATGATAGTAAGGGAGCTCAGTTGGACCCATCAGGAGCCACATTCTTAGGATTGGATGATAACAGGCTTTGCAGGTGGGATATGCGAGACCGGAATGGGATAGTTCAGAATCTGGCTACTAGCACCCCTGTTTTGAACTGGGCGCAAGGGCATCAGTTTTCAAGAGGGACTAATTTCCAGTGCTTTGCAACCACTGGTGATGGCTCCATTGTTGTTGGGTCTCTTGATGGGAAAATCCGTTTGTACTCGACCAATTCTATGAGACAGGCAAAGACAGCTTTTCCAGGCCTTGGGTCGCCTATCACTCATGTTGATGTTACCTTTGATGGAAAGTGGATATTGGGCACAACTGATACCTATTTGATTCTTATCTGCACCCTTTTCACTGACAAGGATGGCAAGACAAAGACAGGTTTTGGTGGGCGTATGGGGAATAGGATTGCGGCCCCAAGGTTGTTGAAGCTCACTCCTCTGGATTCACATTTAGCTGGGGTTAATAACAAGTTCCGTAATGCTCAATTTTCCTGGGTAAAGTATACATTACCTCTCACTTAGATATGACGAACCATTTAATTTGGAATGAAGAACTTAGTTGGCAGGGTGGTTGTTTTTTATTAGTGGAAATATTTTACATCCCTTGATTTTATATTTTGTTGCCAAGAAAATACGGTTCCTTTAATTTGCATTATTCATTGATACCTTGGTTGCATAATCATGCAGACTAGCATTTTCTAGGTTTAGGGTCCGAAAACTGATATGATTGGCTGAAATAAGATGAGTGGAGAAAGAGAATGGAAAAACTCCATTGTTGTTTAATAGATAACTGACTGAGATTAAGACTTGCCCTTTTGTAAGATTCAGAAACTGCTATTTCTGTGATATTCTTAGATCCATGAATAAAATGCTTTGACCATGTGTGTAACTGCATTACATAGGTCACAGAGAATGGGAAGCAGGAGCGCCATCTGGTTGCAACGGTAGGCAAGTTTAGTGTAATATGGAACTTCCAACAAGTGAAGAATGGATCTCATGAATGCTACCATAACCAAGAGGGTCTCAAGAGTTGCTACTGTTATAAGATAGTCCTTAAGGACGACTCCATTGTCGATAGTCGTTTCATGCACGACAAGTTTTCTGTCACTGATTCTCCCGAAGCTCCACTGGTTATTGCCACTTCCTTGAAAGTCAGCTCATTCAGCATATCCAGCAAGCAATGATGACATTGTCAGATACAATTCTTTCGCTTTATTTGATCATTTTCCAAACGTTGCTGGGCAAGTCACTGCTGCAATTTACAGTGCTTCTCAACTTTATTTTCCTTATTAGATTAGGTGTCTTTGAAAGTTTTTCTGCAAACCCTTGTTTAGTTTAAGCTTCTTGTATGTGATCCTAGTATCTGTATTTGTACTCATCACTGTGTTTTAGTGAAGCCACTGCTTTCTAACTCAAAAGCTATTGGCAGCTAGGAAGACTTTGTTATGCTTTAATAGTATCTCCTTTCAAGTATTTTAATGTGATTGAATCGATCTGCTTTCTACTATTTTGAATGGTCTGTTCTGATTGAAGCATATCATGCTTTGGACATGCATATGGGGGCATTTTCAAGTGAAATAGCAAAAAAAAATTGACATCAAATCTTCAGTTGGGATTATAAAAGAATTGACCTCTGAACAAAAAATCTAGATAAATTAATTATTTAATTTCTTTCTTGATCTTATTCGGATTTAGTTTTTGAAATGATAGAAATTCCTAATTGTTGAGGGGTTTCTCCCTTGGTCGATCTGAACTAATAAATGAAAATGTATTGTGTTCTTGAGCATTTGTGCGTCATTTTAGTTTCAAGATTTTGTCTCTTGATCTTAAAAGGGGTTTTGAGAGTGCCTCGAATGAAGAAAATACTGAACATAGATATTGTTTAACTTATTGTGACTTAAATATCGAGCTGCTGGGGCCAGTCATTTAACCAGGATCCACAGCTGGCGCCCGCCGAGAGTGGGTTTCGTCAAACTCAATTCAGATGGTGCAGTGAACCAGGGCTTGCTGACTGCCGCGGCTGGCGGCCTTATTCGGGATCAGAACGGCGATTGGATCGTGGGGTATTGTCGAAACATTGGCTATTGCTCCATTCTTCCTGCTGAATTATGGGGGGGTGCTTGATGGTCTGCACATGGCGTGGAACCATGGAGTCACCAGGGTGGTGCCGGAGAAAGACAATGGCAAAGTTTCTTCCATGCTTTCAAGCTGATTCCATACTCATGAAGCTACTATCATTCGGAGGATCCGGGAGTTGATGCAGAGGGATTGGTCGATCGAACTCTCTCTAATAGGCCGTGAAGCCAATGGTGCCGCGGATTCTCTTGCCCATTATGGTTACTCGTGCTCGGGTGGTTTGTCAAAGTTCCAGAATCCACCAGAAGCTATCCGTGCTGCTCTTCAAGTTGATTACCAGGCTTGGAGGAGTCATCCTTAATTCTTTATTTCCTTTTTCTTGCCACCAATATATATATATACATACATACATACCGAGCTGCTGGCTTTAGTTCACCATGGTCGGTCCAAATCAACTAGGGTAAACCATACAACGGCTCAGAACATGACTGAAGACGCAGCAAGCTATACATGATCTAAGGATCATGCTCTTCTCAGTTAACTAACTCATGGGGCCTTATTTTTGGTGGAGATATAAAATTCTGAAACTAAAACGACATACAAATATCCTGAGAATACATATAACTCTCCTATTGTTAGAGGTTCTAACCGAGAAATAGGGATTCAATAGACCCCTCAACACTTACATAAACATAATGCGAACAACAAACCAAATCTCGTCATCAAAAGAAACATCATCCAAGCGTCTCAAAGCCTATACATAACCATCTTTATGTCTTACTCCAGAATCCAGGTCCCTTACCCATACAACCTTTTCCGGTATGCAAAAATATGTTCTCAACTTTTATCATACATCAAATAAATCACTAGAATTTACACTCAAACAAGTAAAAATCTGTCAAATTATAAAATATATGGACACTGTTATAACCAAGGAAAAAGGGAGGTAAAATCACAACAACAGATTACAATTCATTGACGACTTACGTGGGACTTGGATGAACTTAACTTCTTCCTGGACAAAAACGTTAAAACCTTGGGGAACAAAGACTTTTTCTTTTTCTTTACAACCTTCGGTTCCGGGGATGATTCAGTTTCTGTGTTATTCCCATGATCATATGTCTTTGGGCTCGCTACAGTGATGACAGGAGCAGCCTGTACAGGTTCGAAGTTCTTCATTTCTTTCTTTCCCTCAATACTTGCCCTTGGAGCTTTTTCTCCATGACTCAATTCAGTAGCCTTTCGCCGCTGCTCATGTTCAGCCCTCCACCTTCTCAATTCCTGCTCAATACCTAGTTTCCCTTCCTTGGCCTTCTCAGCCTTCTCCATAGCAATTTTTAGTGCTTCCTTTCTTTCAGCTATCTCTCGAGTTACTTCTTCCAGCTTTTCCAAGCTTCTTGACTCAGATTGCTTAGCTACCTCAATTTGCGAAATGGCAGATGCCACCCTCATGTTGGCCTGTTCCTCTGCCTCGTTTGCCCGTT